AATCACATACCAAAAAAAAAAAAGAAAAAAAAATAAACTTTGTCATGCATATATGATCTTAATCAGTCATTGCCAATTATATTCAATAGGCAAAAGAACTCCCAACCAACCAAGCCTCGACTGGCCCACACGCCTGAAAATCATCAAGGGCATTGCACGAGGCCTAAGCTACCTCTACAAAGAACTCCCGAATCTCACACTTCCCCACGGCCATCTCAAGTCATCAAACATCCTTCTCGATCCCACATACGAACCTCTTCTATCCGACTACTCGCTTGCACCACTCATCAACAAAGACCACGCGCACAATTTCATGGTGGCCCACAAATCACCCGAGTCGACTCAGCTCGACCGGGTGACTCGAAAGACCGATGTATGGAGTTTAGGGATACTAATACTTGAGCTCCTCACCGGTCGTTTTCCAGCAAACTACTTGAAATGGGGCCGCGGGCCCAGCTCAGACCTTGCCACATGGGTCGACTCGGTTTTGAGGGAAGATTGGTCGGGCGAGGTATTTGATAAGGGCATAATGGGTAATTTGGGGAGTAATAATAGTGAGGGTCAAATGGTGAAGCTTTTAAAGATTGGTATGTGTTGTTGTGAGTGGGATGTGGAGAAAAGGTGGGATTTGAGAGAGGCTGTCGAGAGGATTGAGGAGTTGAAGGAAATCGATGGTGTTGATGATGATGATGATGATTATTATTTTTATTATTATCCGTCTGATTATGTTTGCTGAAGGGGAATTTTGTTCGGTTGGGGGTATGAATTTCTAGGGGATCCCAGGTTTGAGAAAACGAGGAATATGGTGAAACTGTGAAAAAAAAACGAGATTTTGCTTCTGATAGTTGGGCATTGGTTTTAAAAGAAAAGAGAAGGAATTGTGTATGTTAATGTCAATGCATATTTATAGGGTGGTAAGAGGATGTTGTTTTTGGAGATTTTTTCTTGACTGGTGTTCAGTTTTTTTCTTACTGGTTTGGAAGGTACATTTGTTGATGAATTTTGAAAAGTGAAGTTGATGAGTCAAATATCTTGTGATATATACTGATCCTGAATTTTTCTTACATTTTTTTTTTATAATATATTAATTTATAATTTTATGAATTTTATTTATTCATGAAAATAAAAACTTTCTTCGACTTTCTTATCCTTTATCTTCATATTATATAAATGAAAAATTTCTAGTGTTTTTTATCTAGATTTCTAGTGATCTTTTATCTTATAAAGTCAAACCTAAAACTTCATAATCAATATGTCAATTTTTTACTTTGTGATCCAATGTATTATTTCTGCTATTTTATAGTATTACATGTCAAATTCTAATGTCAATTTTAGTGATTTGTAAATTGTAATCAATATAACAATTTTGGAGTGTCAAATTTTTATTTAAACTTATCACTTGATCCACCGAAAAAAAAAAGAAAAAAAAAAATCTATTTTGGATTCGTGTATAAAGGACACGTGTGCAGGCCAAGAGTGCCCCAACTTAACATTCGTGGCCTGCTCACCTGCTGTCGAGATCATTCATTTTT